CGATGTACGTGCATTACCTGTTCGGTAAGCAATCGTTTGTTCTATCACAGGTACCATTCATTGATATGCGAGCTGCTCAATCATTAAAAAGATCGCTTTGGGCTTTCAAATATCGAGCTGAGCGCCTTAATTATTAGGCTTCCAAATATCGAGCTGAGCGCCTTAATTAAAAGTTACTGAAAAAATGTTTCAGTCGATCAAGTCGATATGTTGCAGGAATTTTCCACTTCCAGTTCTGGCACTACGGTAATTGGGTGGATGTTGTCGTCGATGACAGATTGCCAACATCCGGAGGAAAGCTTTTGTATATGCACTCCCGTGAAAACAATGAATTTTGGAGTGCTCTGATGGAAAAAGCTTACGCAAAGTAAATGCTACTTTACTTATGTTGTTTTGCACTAAATTTTGTTCAAAATATTTTACAAAAAATATTTGTCTAGAAAAATTGGTACTGTAATATCAGAAATGCCACTACTGTCCAGTCAATCGGTGTGGTTATCCCAAGTCTATGCCCGGACGGCTGGGGCAGTAATACCACACCGTTCGATTATGATACCTCCGGTTATTACCTACCAACCGCCTGTTTGATGTAAAATAATCAGTATTTAAACAAATTTGTTTATTCTAACAAATTCAGGAACTGCCTTAGTGCGAAAAAAAGGATTTCAAAACGATTTGGAAAGGGATTGTTGCAAAAACTGGTGTAACAATTTTCCTTGTTAGATCCATTTAAGGCTGTATGGTTCCTACGAAGCACTGAAAGGTGGCACAACATCTGAAGCACTAGAAGATATGACTGGTGGTCTGACTGAATTTGTCGATTTGAAACAGCCACCACCAAATTTGTTGCAAATGATGTTCCGTGGCTTCGAAATGGGCTCACTGTTCGGATGCAGCATTGAAGTATGCACAAAATAACATCCAGTAATATTGGTAAGAAAAAGTGGTGAAAGCATTAAAATAATAATTACAGCAGTAATGACAATAATGCTAATAATTTAAAACCAACAGTAATTAAAAAATAATGGTAGAAATAAGAATGGTACCAATAATCTAATAACTATAATAACGATGATAATAATGATAGCACCAAGCGCTCAATAACAATAGTGATGAAAGCGATAGCATTAGCAACAGTGATAGTAATGATAAAAAAGATGATAATGGTGATAGAGAATAACAATAATAAAATAACAGTCCACGCTGTTTCTGCCTCCTTCCAGTAGTTGTTATTTCAATTAGTAGACAATAAGAATGGAATACATTCTGCAGAATTCTCATTTTTTTTTGACTGCAGGCTTCACCAATGGAATTTGAAGCTCGTACACGAGAAGGTTTGGTGAAAGGCCATGCGTACAGTATCACTGGCATGAGACTGGTAAGCCATGTGCTTCACGTTTGCTATGTTATTTGAAGGTAATGTGACTGAATAGATTGAGAATGAACGGAATAAATTGATCGGATTTTGAAACGGTATGAAAACAGTTCAAATGGCACGGAATGAGCCCGACTTACTGAACTCAAATGAGCTGATATGAAATAAGCAGAACTGGAATGATTGACTGACTGAATTTAACTGAATGACAGTGAATTAGACTGTGAGTCCTCAAACGGGAAATTAGAAAAACGTCGTAAAATACTAAACACTTTAAGATAAATTTTAAAATTTCAGGTTGAAACAACTCATGGTAAAATTCCACTGTTAAGAATTCGCAATCCATGGGGTAATGAACAAGAATGGAACGGTGACTGGTCCGATGAGAGCGAGTTATGGAGCTGCGTATCTGAGAAGCAGAAAGAGGACATGAATCTTGTCCTCGCGCACGATGGCGAATTTTGGTTGGTCCTGTTGTTCAGAGATGATGATATCCAGTTTTTTTAATTTCCCAACCTGCTGTAATATAGATCCACAACAAACAACATGGGGTTTGGCTGGGATAGGCAGTGTGGGTTCACGTGGGATACTTGTTCAGGGGATTTTGGTGTTGTTGCTGTATGCCT